TAGGGGCAAATATATTCAAAAGAAATGAGCGTCTTTATGATTAAAGTTGTTCGACCGTCAAAATGCTAAACTTTGAACAATACTTTTGAATAACTTATCATAGAACACCTCATTTCGCCAAGGGAGCTAATGAAGTGACCTCTTTCGACGGGAGAATTAAAGACTCTTCGCCGACTGAAACTTGGTGTAGATAGTCAATCAAACGAGGAGTAAGTGATGTTTAACCAAACTAAAGAAACACCTAGACCAAGCTGATAATACGAGTCTGCTGATGTTTAACCAAACTAAAATTGGTGCCAGTTTGTCAACCCAGTGATACTTAACTAAACTGAATATGTGATGATGCGTTAGTGGATCAGTTAGTCTTTCTCAAGGTATGAGAAGGTATCACTAAGCCAAAGATTTCGCGTATAACATTTGATTTGTATGTTGAGTAAAATGTCCTCTACATTACAAAACACTTATAGTAGTTATATATTTGCTTGGCATGGCCTGATACTTGTGCAGTATCTAATTCAATTTTTAACTGGAGAACAACATGCTGATGACTCACCCTCTGCTAGAGTGACTTGAATGTGATCCATCACTTTGTGTGCCATATCCTTTAGCCACCTACCTAGGAATTTTTTCAAGATAGGACAAAGCCTATCACTCCGCATATTCTTTGGGTTGAAGCCTATATATTACTTTCTGTAGCTAATGTCAGGACAAAGCCTATCATATCGCCGCCATCTGCCGACTCCAAAATCAATTTGAACTATACTGCTTACTGCCAGTCAACATCTCATTTAATTTTCGTAAGAGAATGTCAATATAATTTCAATAAATTCTCACTGATACTATCTGTTAACAATAATTGAAAGTTATCATAATACTTAATAACTATCCACCGGTCTAGAACACAAAAATTGATAGTGCAAAAACAGGTCCAAACAATATTTAAAAGAAAATAAAATTATGAAGAGTGCACAATGAGATTTTTAAAGAGCCAATGACACTTTTCTTATAAATAATTAGTTCACTCTCTCATGGTATCAGAGCATTCATTCAGCTTAACAGTTCACGTGCTTCCATTGTCAACATGTTAGTCTTCAGAAACCTTACACTTGAGATGACGTGTTGAGAAAAATAAATCACATAGAGAAAATAAAAAAAATCATGCATAGACTTATAAGAAGTTGAGTTGCTCTCTTGTTGTCATTTAATTTTAGAGTGCGACTTCAAATTCCTTAGCAATGCACCTTGAAACTTCATTTGTAGGGTATCCTATCCAAATTTAACAACTTTGATTTTTAATTTTTAAGAAGTATGATGCCCCAAGCTTTCGTAGAAAACAACATGCAGAATCATGTAAACCTCACAAAAACTCCAGGACATGGTTTACTCCTAGCAACCCATATGTATTCAACTGAAAATGGATGTGATTGATAGTTGTTGATCTATGAATCGGATTGATGATGATTTGCTTCATGTTAAATCATGAGCATCGCAATACAATTCAGCCAATTCATCAAAAACCAAGCCTTATATTTATATAAGTGAATGGAAACCGTGAATAAATAGATGAGAAAATTAAGACATAATACAAAGATGGATTGTTATTGATTCTAAAAATTCATCTTACATTCTTTCAAGTGAATCCTCATACTTGTACATAAAATGAGTTAAAAGTAATTATTTAGAGTGTCAAGACACTACAAAAAAATATGGCCTAAGAACACAATTGATTTGTGCCCTTTTAAATTTCATTGAGCACAAATATATATTGGTGCTCTTAGATGTCAATGAACACAAAACTATCACAAATGTGCTTTCTGAACAAAAAGGCACATTAGTTAGTGTCTAAACAAAAGTGTATTTGTGCCTATTAAAATTTGAACACAAAGTTTGTGTCACTATTTATGGATATCTGTATACTAATTTTTTTTTTATTAATTTACAAAAAACACAAAAAACATTTTTATGTGCCCTCTAATTTTATATATTTAAACCATTTGATTTTATAGGCACAATGTTCATGTCTTCCTTCACCAGTCTGGACACAAATCATATTTTAGTATTAGTTTTTATTGATCAAGGTGCCCCACACACACGTTTCATCATCATCACCTGGCAAATCCATTGTTGACACACCCCGACCTAAATCAGGGCGTGCTGGCCGTCACGTGAGAGTGACGTAACCATATGCACAGTGCGGAAGCAATAATGATATGGAGAAATACGAGCGAATAAAAAACCAAACTTCTAAAAGTACTAGCTAAAATAAGATGCTAGTGCGAGATTAAGTGTGAAATACACAATCAGAGCATAAATAGCCTAAGTGCAGTCCGACTGGACAAGTACTAATTATACAACACCCAAAGGTGATCCTACATTTGTGATGTTCTGTCAGAACCACTGTCGAAATCCCCGTGAGCCACCAAAGCACTTCTACCTAAAACCTAAAGAGGCGCAAAACAGAAAGTGTGAGTTGGCAAAAACAAAGCTTTTCAAATACATTTCATTTATCAAAAGCGCTAAACCCCCCCCCCCGCCGTAAAACCCGTATAATTTCCCATAAAAATAATATATGTTATATCAGAAATCATGATCAGGATGAAAATCCATAGAAATATACCATGCCAAAGTATCTCAATGAAATGCTATAAGTAATCCAGTTAAAATATATCAATGTCAGATATCATATCAGCCGGATCCACCTAACGTGACCTGCACGGCTGAGTCTATAGCTCATAACCAATCTCAATTATATCAAATCCTGCACACGAGTCGGAACCACTAAAGTGGTCTGTACAACAAGACTAGGTGTAAAATAAATATGCTCTAGTGCCACGATCACGTAAAGACTGTGCGAATGATCACGGATCACCTACGAGTCGGAACCACTTATAATGGTCTATACAACAAGCATGTGCACCTAACTTGGATCCAAGGTGAGCATATGGTGCAGGAGGTGAACATCACGTGAAGGACCGTGCCCTAACTCTGGGCGGGAGCACTAACACTGGATGCATGTTTATGAGCTCTCAATGCATCACATCATATCTCGCATAACTAAAGCAATCTCATATCTTTAATTTATGAACTTACCTAGCACTTACCTGTGCGTCCGCAACACTAATCATAAATATATGCAACTACTAATGCATAAATAAAATAGGCAGATACTTTGCATGGCATTTCAAAACGTATAATCATTCAAATTCATTTTCTGGGAAAAAAATCTCAAGTATATAGGTATATACGGAAAACCAAAAGCCCACTCACTGGTATGTCGAAGGGTCGTAGTCCCCGAGCCTCGATTGATGGCACTCGTCCTCTGGATAGGTCTCATATATACGCGAAATAACTAAATAAACGTTAATTAAAGCACACAACAAAAATTAACTAATAATTTCTCATACATTGCTCAAATGGGGTATTTGAATATACCACCAAGACCTACTCAACCTCAGGAATATCCCCATATTTTTAGAAAAAATTTCCGAGCACCTATGCGCCCTCATGCGCCAGCCAATGCACGGCCAGACGTGCGGTTCACGCGCAGGCACGTGTTTGGCACACCAAACGGATTCCCTAATGGCGTTAGGGAATATTCTGTTAAAAATCAGCATATACCGTTATAATTACTTGACGGCATTAGCATATTCCGTCAACTTTGACGGAATATTCTCCTCATTCTTCCTTGGTTCGCCAAAGTCCAGCGTCGGTGCCGCTGTTATCGCCGAAAACTGGAAAAATCTTTAAAACTTCATATCTTCTTCGATTCTTAACCAAAATTCATGAATTATATACCAAAATGAAGCTTAGGGCTAGAAGAACAAGACCTTACCACTTTTAGGACCTAAAACCTGCAAAATCTCGCTGGGAAAACCTCGATACTTCGGCCACCTCTGCAATTCCGCGAACTGGGACTTCCCGATGTCCAAATCACTTCAAAATTCTTCCCCAAGCTTCGTGAAGATGTTCTAAAGCTTCCTAAGGTCTTAAAACTCACTGAAAAGTCCACGATCGAATGAACAGTGCTCCAAAACTGGGTTATCTGGTTCTCGAGAAAACAAGGTATTCACGTCCAACCAACGCTAAAGATCAACTCCTAAGGTTGCAAGGAGCATGAAAACAACTTCCAAACCCCGATCAATGAATGGATAGCTAAGGTGGGAGTTGTTTGTACGATCGTACAGAAAATGGAGAAAAATCGAGAGGGAATGAGAAAGAGAAAGTCAGCGAGAGAGCATGTGGGAGAGTGTGTGTGTGGTCCAGCTTTAGGTTACTAACAACAACAAAACCATTAACTTTAAGTTCCAAAAACTTAGGAACTAACTAGATTAGTCTAAAACCCAAACTCAAACCACACCACTACATAATGTGCTCAACGTCCAAGGGTGTAAAAGGAATTAGCACGCTATCGAGGATAAAATAATATATACATTCGGGACGGGTTGTCACAACTGTTTAGATCAAGCGGATGTTTTCTAAATTTATTTTCTTATTCGATACTTTCTGCTGTCAAATTACAGGGCTTTACCCACTGGATCAGTTCTTGAAAAAATTACGGAGTCAAAATTTATTCAAATAAGAGTCTACAAACCAACAAAAATTTGTTTGTCAGCACCACTTTATGTTTTTTTTTCCTTTACATTTAGCACACACAAAACATTAGATTATAAAATCAATTATAAAATTGTGGTAAATAATGGTATGGGTCTTCACATAGACAAATGACACAATTTGAAAATAAATGCCCATTGAATATTATAATTATAAATTTCCTTTTTGTGACACAAATTTTAAAAATTGTGTCCAGTAAATAGTAATAAAAAATAAATCATTCCACTTCCCATACAACAAAAGAATATATTGGCATAATTATGGATTTTTGCATTTGAATTATTTTAATATTGTTTATGTTTGAGTGGTGTGCCGTGGGACCTACCCACGTGTGAGTCTCTCTTCCCCGTGCAAACCCCTCATTTTCCCCTCACTTCTTTCTACCATCCCTACACCTATCTCTCTTCCTCCCGCGGTTCATCTTCTTTCTTCTCCCTCTGTCCCTCATCCTTCTCTTCTCTCTCTTGGCTCGCTTCTCCCCAAGCAACATAGCCACCACGTTCTCCGGCAACTTCAAACACCAAATCACCACCATCCTCTTCCCAACCTCACACCAACACAGAACTAGAACCCAGAGTCCCAGAACTTAGACTCAAACCTCAAATCAAATAACCATAGCTCCGTCTCGAATCCGAGAGAGTTCCGGCGAGCTCATTGCTTTCCCTACCAAGGTAAGGTCTGTAACTACCTCCGTTTAATTCCTTTCGATGTTCTAAGTTGGTTTCTATCCTTGCATGTGAAATTTCCTTAGCTAAAATCTCCACTGTTCCGGCGAGTTGCAGGTTTCCTGAGATTTTTTGACCAAATCTCATCGTCTTGGACGAGATTGACACCACAAATGAACTCCCTATAATCCCATGGAACATATTCGAGCTTTACATGCTCAAAATTGTCAGGGATTCGTAGAGACCTAAGCTAGGCTTTTAGGCCAATTTTCGACCACCTCTAGCCATCCTTTGGCCTCGATTTTGGTAAAATCAAACTCCTCTTAATCCCAACTTCATTTTGACATACTGTGTATTACAAATGGTTGAGATTTATTGCAGATCTGCTTCTATTTCGAATCCAAATAGGTATTGATTTTAATTTTTTTATTTGTTTGTGTGTAATTTGAGATGGAATGTGGAAGTGGTTTGAATTTACGGTGTATTTATTCTGGTGTCTAACAACTATACTTAAATCACGTGACTCTAGATTTAACATTCTACCTACTGATATCATGAATACAATTGTTAAGAATGAGTTTTCAAAATTGCTGGTGATATTGTGAACTTATTCAAATCATTTTAGAGAAAATACATCTATTTTGATATTCATGTATTTTCCCTTCATTTTCGTTCTTCTTGTAAGTTGTGTGGTTTCTTTATCTTTGAGGTTTTTATTCATAACCTTCGCAGGAAGAGGCCTAGATTCTGTATAGACCGGATGATTAATTTATTTGTGGAACAAGAAGATGGGATGAAGTAAAAGCTTTCTGGGAAAGATTCAAGTGTTCATAAATGCTTGTTTTCATTATTCGTATGAATTGATTGTTTGTAGAACTAAATTGTAAAAACTTGTTTGTAATATTTGAATTTGTATTGTTTTTAAATATTTTACCGATTGGGCACAAAAACAAAATTGTGCTAACATGGCTTGGAAAGAGTCAGAACTGTCAGAACTGAGAAACAAAAGAAACCCTATTTGTGCTGAGCTTTTTGGGCATCAAAGACCATATTGTGCCCAATGATCAAAGGTGACGCCCATAGAGGGCACATATATAAATATAGTTGCTGCATTGTTGCTATTGGTTTATGGGCACAATTGTTGGTGCTTTTTGGCCTCAAATGGCACAAATAATTTATTGTGTGCAGTGCTTGTAGTGAGAACATATCTCTAGAAAATCATTTTTATAACCTAATGACATAAAGCATACTAGAAAATCAATTTGTAGACAACGCAAAATCGTGTACGGTGGCACTATAGGATTCATACAACCAACCCGACCTAATGGAATAAGGAGTGATTGTTGTTGTTATACTAATCCTCCACATCCAATCACATTTGTTTAGATTATTAAAGACGTAATTGAGACAATTAGCACATCGAACAAAATTTCACGTGTGCAACGGTCCATGGATGCCAGCAAACAAAATTGTGAATGATTTTGTTTTACCTTGGTAGCTAGTGGAATGCATGGACTAGACTACAAGGTTTTGTCTCATTTATCAGTGCTTGCACACATCATTATAATGTGAAGGTAATAGGGGTGTGCTATTCACACATCCTTTTTTACTTCTCATACATCCCTTGTTAATTTCTGTCCGTTGATCTTCTTCAATTCATCCGATCCGACGGCCGAAAATAAAAAAAGTGTGGGAGAAGTAAAAATAGATGTGTGGATATCACACCCCAAGGTAATATTGAGGCCTATATATATAGAAATCTATACGTTCAATCATTCCCGGCTCATAGGATCTCAACTCTCTACAGATTGAGCAATTTTGAAGACACATTGCCTCCACAATGGTTGCTAGTGCTAGCCTCAAATACTCCTTCTGCCTTTTCCTGGTGTTGCTTACATTTTCCAACTCTGAGTCTCGTTCTCCTCCTCTTCCATTATTAAACAAGATTACCACAGAGCGGCCATTGATGCAGGATGCCAAACAGGTCTTGAAGGCTAGTATTGCAAGACAAGCTGCAGCTGCTGGAAGTCGATTACCAAAGTCCAAGCGAGTCAGCCCGGGTGGACCTGACGGCCAGCATCATTAACGTGTCATTGGGCAATATTCCTGCAACAGTAATGCTAGAGAGACTAAATTTAGAGACAAAATTTGCAAATTAAATGATGTGTCACCAATAAAAATGAGCACGTTTATCAACACTGTAATAAATCAATCATCAACTTCTATGTTTTTAGTTTCTAAAATTTTGTCTACAAAGTTAATATTTCTAGCGTCTTTTTTGCAAGAAGGGTGGCTTGAATAGAGGTTTTTTCCTTGATTTTGTTTCGTATTATGATTCAACAAGTCTCGTACGTCTGTCAGACAGAGTGGATGTTGACCGAATAGTGATTGCCTACTTTCAAACCTTTTGTGACCACTAAATTTCGTACCTAAAACTTTTATCCAGTTGAGTTATTTCTTGTTCGCATGAGAAGCACAAACTTTTAACTTTAGTCACTTATTGAATTCTTTCTCCGAATTAAAATATTGAAACTTGTAATCCTAACATGAATATTCATTCATGGAGTAGATAAAAGTTAATAAAAGTAGGAGGAAAATTAATATAAAATGGCTGTTATATGAAATTGTACGGCTGATGTACTTATATATAACCAACTATTATAGATATATAGTTTATCCATCAATCATAAGCAAGCCCCTAGACCATTCAGAATTTTAATTAGTTGTGCGGCTAGTGCTACGGATAGGATTAATCTATTGTTTACAAAAGGGGATCATTATTGGACTCCAATTAATCAATCTTTAAAAGTGATTAATTAATTAAACTACCATAAATCCTGACAGGTAATTAACACTAGTGCCTTGTCAACATATCAAGGTGATTATATATCCTATTATGTGGGTTTTTAATCACAAATCACTCCTGAAATTTACATAAATCATTATTTTTGTTTTCAAGTTGAAGGCCGATTAATGTAATCCTTGAACTTACTGTCGCACATCAATGTCATCGATACCATCCAATTTTGTTAATTTTTCTTGTTTGTTTGATGAAGTAACACACGATTGGACTCACATCCAAATACCGTACCGTCCAATTTCATTAATTTTTTTTGTTAGTTTGACGACATGACCCACAATTGGGCTTATACATATAAGGTGCGACATGAGTCAGACCTTTTTTAATCATAATAAGTGGTGGATTGGTTTGGTTGATAGAGTCTTCTCATCCAACTCATTATGTATAGTGTTCAAACCATCTCTTTTCCCTTAGTATAATTTAAATTCGTAATATTGGTTGTAATGAAAAAAACATGGTCGCACGTAATAAATTTATATGTAGATTGGCAGGTATAGACTATGTCAGCTAACCAAGAAAGTGTGTCCATAATAGTTTAGATTATATATATCCTCTTTCAAAATTGCCTAAAACTTGGTAAAAATCATTTCAAGGATGAAAAAACGAAATATAGATTGGCATTGATGGAAATCATTAATTTAATGGGTAACTGAACTTAAAACCTTAAAGTTAAGACATGAATAGATAACCTCCTTGACTGAGATGGATGGAATCATATTAACTTATATTTAAGCTTTTTTTTTTAAAAAATCGAAATTATTATTATTAAGAGATGGGAGAATTTAAAACTATTACAATAATTTAGAAGATAAGAAATTTTTAAATCTATAAAAACTCAACACTTTATCCACTAAAATATTAGACAACATGCATTAAACAATAAATCATTGATGTTTCAATGTATTATTCATGCATGGTGCTCTAGCACTTATCCAATACCCATATCCAAATTGGACGGGAACTTAATTTGGTGAATGCATGAGTCCCTTGATTGTCATATCAAAGTTGGTAACTTAGCTGTATTATCCATTTTCTAGACAAAAGTGTGTGATATCCACACACCCTTTTTACTTTTCATACATCCTTCTAATTTTTGGCCGTCGGATCGGATGAAATGAAGAAGATCAACGGACAAAATTAACAAAGGGTGTGTAAGAAATAAAAATGGGTGTGTAAATAGCACACCTCCTAGACAAAATGTGATTATCTCAACTCCTGAAATGACGTGACCTTTCTGCCTTCTTGTGTCATCCTTTTATATCTTGTTTGCCAACCATTTAAAGAACGTTTTTTTTTTAAACGAAGTTGGCTCTTTGTATTTTTAGTTTGTTTACTTTTTGTTAAAGATAACTTCATTAAAAAGATAGCAATTAGAGAGAAAAGATTCATCTAGGAACAAAAATATTAATGCAATTGGATTATAGAATATAGGTTCACATGACACATTGGATATGTGCGTAAAACTCTAATTAACATACATAAGCAAGACCTAAGAATCTATATGTACACTAAGATAAGCAATATGCGAGGCAGCCTTGGCATAATTAGAGTTGTAATTAAGCGATATCTGAACATCCAAAACCATAGACTATATAACTACAAGTAGGTGAAATTTATCATATTCTCTTTGAATAAAAAAAGATAGATAATTATGACTTATCATCAGTTATTTTCTTTCTTCTATAAGGGGAAAAACAAAAGTCATAGACTACGTGGCCCTCAAACGATATTCCTCAAAATGCAGTGTCAGCAAGATCCACTTGCTTGTGGCTATCCGGATGTGCGAAAAGCCGAAGGGGTTGTCTTTGTGAATTTTCTAGGGTCATTCTTGTGATGACTTGGGAGATAAGGGAAAAGAGTAGATGTGACGAAAAAACGAAGTGCTGACTGCAGTCGGTGAGAGGAGAGAGACTGATCTGTGGGATTTATAAAATTTTATATCAGACAAGACATCCATTTCTTGCAGTATTCAATTACACATGAGTGCTTTAAATAAACTAATCAAACAACTATAAGAAAGATTCTCCGACTTTTTCTAATTGCTTCAATCTATATCTTTTATATATAAAGCCAATAGAAAAGGTAAATAGTGATTTTGATATCATCACATTTTAATAAAAATATTTGGATAAAAATACTTCAAAGATAAAAAAAAACTTTAAAGATATCTCAAAATAATGCATCAAATAAGGCAAAAGTATTTTCATCATTGTAATAGTATTTTTTTAATAATTAATTTTTTTATACTTTTTTAATTAGTACCTCACAATATGCTAGTAATAATGTGATTTAATTTCTCTATTTTTAAACAAGTTCAAAATATCTTAAGAGGTGTGCAATGCTAATTATAAAAAAGATCATTCATACACGGATAATAATGTGGTTAAATTAGTTGTCAAATGATTGTTTTTTTTTAACAAACGATATTATTTACACTAAGAGAGAAAGGGTGGGCTTAACATCATAATGGGCTAGCAATAATGTGATTCAATCAGTTGTTTATTAAATATTATTTTCTCTATTGTAAACACTTTCAAAACATCTTAAGAGGCGTATAATGCCGGTTATAAAAAGTTTTTCGCACGCGGATAATAATATGATTAAATTAGTTGTCAAATGATTTTTTATTTTTAACAAACGATATTATTTATACTAAGGGGGAGGGATGCGCTTAGCCTCACAATGGGATATCAATAATGTGATTCAATCAATTGTTTATTAAATATTATTTTATTTATTCTTAATGTAAATTCTATAGAAACCGATTTTATTATGTGAATTCAACTGCTTTAATTGATTTATAAAGGGTTTCTTCTAGCATGATCTAAGATTATTCATTTACTTCAAATATTTGACTTCCCTTTTGTCAATTTAAACATATAACTATATTTAAAACGTGCAATTCACGCGTAGCATGCCGTGATTCAAAAAATGTCTTCATCATTTTAATTAGTTTTTTTGTGCTGTTTTTTATGTATTGTTTTTTTAAATTAATACCTTACAATATGCTAGCAATAATGTGATTGAATTTCTCTATTTTAAAACACGTTCAAAATATCTTAAGAGGCGTGTAATGCCGGTTATAAAAAAAGTCTTTCGCACGCGGATAATAATGTAATTAAATTAGTTGTCAAATGGTTTTTTTTTTTTAACAAACCACATTATTTACACTAAAGGGATGGGGGGCTTAGCCTCACAATGGGCAAACAATAATGTGATTCAATCAGTTATTTATTAAATATTATTTTCTCTATTTTTAAACACGTTCAAAACATCTTAAGAGGCATGTAATGCTGGTTATAAAAAAAAGTATTTCGCACGTGGATAATAATGTGATTAAATCAGTTGTTAAATGATTGTTTTTTTAATAAACGATATTATCTACACTAAGGGGGAGATGATGAGTTTAGCCTCACAACGGGCTAACAATAATGTGATTCAATCAATTGTTTATTAAATATTATTTTCTCTATTCTTAATGTAAATTTTGTAGAGACCGATTTTATTATTTGAATTCAATTGCTTTAATTGGTTTATGAGGGGTTTCTTCTATGATGATCTAAGATTATTCATTTACTTCAAATATTTGACTTTCCTTTTGTCAACTTACACATTACATTTAAAACGTGTAAGTTGCTTGTAACACGCCATGATTCAAAAAATATCTTCTACACGCTCGTAAGCACGTGTAAGGCTAGTCTATTTATAAGGGGAAACTTGTTATGCTCAAAGCTACTTACCCTTCTTTGCTTTAATAGCAGTTGTCATACAATTTTAAACCTTTCACTGATCAGCATGCCTAGTGTTCTAAGGGCAAGCTGCTTGTTGCTACCATTCTTGGTCATTCTTTCGATGCTTGTAGTGAGCTCAGAGGCGCGTCTTTCTCTCGTTTTCTCAACTCTTCCAAATATTACTGATGGCCATCTCTTTTTTCGTAAACTTGGGTTTCTTGTACCGAAAAATGAGTTTTATCGGAGAAGGTTTCTTATTGACGTGAACAGAACTGCACCCGGAGGACCAGATCCCCAACATCATTAGCAACTTAGGATTTTTTATTGCCAGAAATAACACTTGAGTTGCCAAAAATTTTCTCAAAGTTTAGTCGCCAAATTATGTAGCAGATGACATGGTTGTGTAGTTACGACTTGGGATGCAAAGTTTTGGGATTTGTTTTGCGAAGTTCTGGCAAAACTCTTTGTTCGTTTGAGCATTCAAAGATATGATCATCCCTAGTACTATTCTTGTTTCAAAAATCTGAATTCGCCGTGCCACGACCTTGCTGCCAGTGATCTGATCTCACTCCAAGCATCCAATTGTCTTTTTGTTTTGTTTTGATTTTGATTTTGATTTTTAACCCAGGAAGGATTTACTTAATGAATTCTGTTCATCGGCTAGGAAATGTTGTATTTGTTATAAGTAACTAATGCAATCACTTCTTTCTTAAGCTTCTGCTTTACCAGAAACCCAACCTGATAAACTCTTTGAGCGCAACACGACACACCGCTAACATTACAATATTATTCTTTAACTTACCACTTGTTAAGTGTGAAATTTTATCATGAAAGACCTCCGTGATATTATTAGTGAACTTCATATTTTGTTACATCTCTGATGTGGGACATTACTCTCCATATTCTTTACCAGTTTGTAAGTGTTTTATCATTAACCATCAGTACGAAGGTAAGAGCATGATGGGTACTTCAAACATCCTGAAATATGACATTTAACAGCGTGTAAGACATCAACTGGAAATGGTTTTTCAATTCGTTATTTTCGTTAAAAATTAGACCTGGCAAATTAACCAATTGAATTCTTAAAACCCAATGGGTTGATTTGCAAGATCTGATGCAAATATAATCTGCCTAAGCAGCATGCTGAAAATAACATTATGTACCTAGCCTAGGTTGCACTCTCTATCGGAGATATTAATCAAGTAATAATCAGAAACCGAAAAATTAGTATTCTAGTTGCGATTTATATGAAGTAAAGACAGTATGATTTAAAGACCATTGAAACAAGAAAAATGTTAGAAAGACCACAATCTCTCTGCCATTACTTTTGCAAAAGGGCTAAAAAAACTTCATTTGGTCAGATATGTACATCGGATTACTGAGTTTTTTTTTTTTTTTTTTTTTTTGACTTGGTTTTATAGTGAAATCTTAATTTTTTATGGTATCAAAGTATGTTGGCTCACGTGTGAAGTCAAACAACCACACATGCTCCACATCATCCGTTTGTGTCGTCCACTTGTTATGCTTGAAAATTTACCACACCTGAGAGGACGTGTGAGAATGTGAGGACGAAGTCCTACATCGGTGAGGGACATAAAATGGCTTTGTAATTGGGCATTACATATAAAATGGCTTTGTAATTGGGCATTTCATGCGTTCTTCCATATAAAATGGTTTTCTAATTGGGCACTTTATACATTCTTCCTTACAAAATGGCCAAATGGTGCAGATCGAACATGAGGTTGCTTCGGCTGAGGTGATGAATAAGTACTTCATGGGTAAGCATCACTATTCTTTTTATCTTCTATGTGAAGAAAATATATATACATGAAAATGTAGAAAAGATGGAATGTGTCATATCTGTATCTGTGCGGAGATAAGTTGGAATTAAGGGAAGAAGGCTTTTTTTTATGGACAGGGAGTATATTTAGCGGGGGTGGGCGGTCTCCAGCACGATCGAAAGGCTTCTGCAGAAACTTGGATTAGCATGGTGACTGATTTTCAGAAGGGTTCTTTATCGACCCGGGTCGGAACTCCATTAATTTAGGGTAGTGATGATGTTCATGGCCAGTCTTCAATGCAACAATATTTCCTCACAGTGTCGGTCTTGGAGCTACCAGGCAAGTAGATCAATAGGCCTTCAACACTAACATTTCGATTAAATCGTCATCATCCTAGTCTCAGTGTCTTGATTATTGATTGAATTCAGATTAAAAAAATGCTTTGCACACGCTGCAACCTGTTTACCACGTACCAACAGAAATCACTAACAGTATGAACACAGCATCGTGGTAAAAGGATCGCAATATTATTTGTTAATTTGGAATCCGACAATGATTAATGATCTTTCAGTAAACTAATATGCTGTCCATTTAACTAGTATCTGTTCGAAAGCTAAAAGCATTTCGTTAAACCTTTGTCATCTCAGATTGGCAGCGCATAGACAAGCTCACCTCTCCACCTCATGCCAACTGATCGTATTCGATTCTCGTCAAAGGCAAGTTTGAACCATATTATTGCTAGCTTATTGTGAAGCTAAACTCATCTTCTCCTCCTTAATGTAGATAATATCGCTTGTTTCCAAAAACAAACAAAAAAACATAAACTACTCGATAACGTTTTTCATCCTCTGACCCCTATTTAACTGCATGTTATTTACAGGTCATGGTTCCATTCGACTATAGCATCACATTAGGTTTTTAGCTTGTTTTAGTTGGTTTAGAATTCAAGCATGGAGACCACATTTTCTATTCCGCATGTAAACCATCTCCCTATAATCGAAGCAAGGTCCAAAGTACAAGTGGGTCCCACCTCTATTAGAGCTATGGTTTAGATGCGATCTACAAAATGTGGTCTCTCTAACATTTTTCATAAAAGGAATAAATCAGTCAAGGATGTTAGGACCGTTTAGTGATATCAGATTGGAGTACACCAATAATAAAGTAAATAATGGAGACAATTTACATGGTTCGGCAATGTGTGTGTATGTTCATGGGGGTAACGAGACAAGTAAGAGCCTAACGAATAGATCAAATAGCCTGAGATATGAAATTCAAGAAAACTAAAGCAAAAGATTATTTTCTGGACAAATACATCATATATGTAAGTAAATATCAGATTCAAAAGGGTGCAAGTATTCATACACCAAAAATTTTCTTCAACTATTGGACTCCGATGAACTTCTAACAATCTGTGGGAAGAGGGTACTGGCAATACCTTTCGTTCTTCATGCAGAGAAAGAAGCGTTCGTAAGCTGATGCCATTTTCGTTGCAGTGAACATCGAAACCACGTATTTCTTGCAAGCCAGGCCTTTCCTCTTTAGCACACTAGATCCGTCTCTAATCGCCAACTCCAATGCCTCTATGAAAGACCTGACATTGGGCGAAAATGTGTATCCGAATTCTTCATCCACAACCACTGTCCCAACAATGCTTGGATAATTCGGTGTCAAAACTGGCTTCCCAGTATGCATTGCTTCGATCAATGTAAGATCAAGCCCTTGAGGCCTCAATGTCGGATTCACAAACACATCAAGCGCATTGTAAAACTGAGACAGCTCCAACGGCTCCAATGCTCCTAAAACCTTCACATTTGGGCCTAATTCGGTGTACCTTCTTCCCCAAGGACCTGCCCCTGCTACAAGTAAATAAACATTGGGGTGGCGCCTCACAATCGAAGAAAAGGCCTCATAGAGAAGCGGATGCCCTTTGTCCCTCACCAACCGCCCTGCAACTCCCATCACAACGCTCGCATTGGAAGGCACTCCATGTCTTTCGCGAAACTTTGCACCGGCTTCTTGGTCCGGGGTAAATTCTGTTTCGTCAACCCCGTTGAGTATGACATGTACATTTCTTTTGGGGAGTTGATAGATGTTCACTAGAACCTCACCGGCACTAGTGCTTATGCAGATGTGTTGCGTGTAGCTTCTAAAGAATCGAATTTCCTCTACGAGCCTCGGCATTGCTTCGTGAAGCTCTGCCAGCTGCCCCCCTTTCAGATTCGAAAGAAGTTCTTGCAGCAACTTGGAGTGCATAATTTCGTACCATATCCCATGCCAAGTGACAGCCACATTCGTCACCGTTTTCGCACGCCAATGCGGCAGCGAAACGCTCTCGGTGTGCACATAATCAAACTCTGTATTTGCATTGGCTTTATTGAAAATTTCAAATGCTAAAGATACGTTGACAGAGCCATGATCGTTGGCAGCAAAATACACATGAAGGTTACCTTCATGTATGTCCCACCGTGCCCTCCTATCAGAAGGCACGGTGAAGACATGAATTTCGTGGCCCCGGGCAGCAAGCTCATGGTACAAAGTCGAAGCATGGCGCTCCATGCCGCCTGGGGCAGCGCCAACTGGCCACGTCTTGGAGAAGACGGCAAGCTTGAGCTTTTCGGATGTTGGTCCAAAACAAAGCTTGTTCCATGGGAACTTAGCATCTCTAAGATCACCATTGAACTGGGGAAAATCGGCCCGAAAAAACGGTTCTTGAACATTCCGAAGGGATGCAAGGAAGAGGAAGAAGGATGTAAAAAGTAGGATTAATGTGAAAATTGTTGAATATCTGAAGGAGAAGAATTTGGAGGAAGAGGTTTTGGGAGTCTGGTGCTTCAATCCCATTGCTACGAATCTCTCAAAGAAAGTTTGGTTTGTTTTTTTTGTTGATCAAGATTTGAGAATATGGTTTAATTATTGATTAATATTATATTAAGTAGGTATTGCAAGTTGTACGAAGACTTTTTGATAATATGGGATTTAATACAAAGTTTCAGCCATTGATGCCGTCCACGAACTAGTTCCATTTGTATATAGTAACTGCTGCACATGATCCTTGCTGCGGAGATCTTGTCAACTCTTCACTCTCTAAGTTTTTGGACCGTTTGGAAGTGCTTTTAAAATAACTGAAAATGCTTTTAGAGAAAAATACTTTTGAGTTTCAAAAGCACTTGAAGTATTTCGTGCAAAAAACATCAGTTACTTGTTTCTTGTAAGAAGCACTTTCATTGCTTTTTCAAGATTCACTTGCATTTTTACTAAGAATTTGTTCCAAAAACACTTTTAGTCATTTAAGAAGCACTTTCAACCAAGCCATTTTTTCTTATACAAAGATATATATTTACACTGAGAGGTGGAGAGGAATAAATTAGTTTTGAACTCATTATTTACAATATTCGAATCTAAGATCTCTCACTTACAAAAGATTCGAATCTAAGATCTCTCATTTACAAATAAAGAAAAATTCTACCCCAACTATTGTACTAAGTTGCATTTCACTTACAACTTACAAGTTTCAAGTTGGCAAGTAATTGGCCCCCAGTTGTCCCCTCGATTCTGTTTGACTACCGAGAAAAAAAAATGCATCAAGAAGAAAGGGGAGTGATTTCTACTCCCATATATTTTAGGGGCATTTAGGTTCTAAAGTCCAAAGAGACAGGTTTTTATGTTTTCCATATTTGTTAGTGTCCGTTTTACCCCTTGATGTACATAAAGATTTTAATTAAAATCCCCTAATTTCATGCATGAATAACTTTCCTCTTATTTCATGCATGAATAACTTTCTCCTGATTCAAAATTTGAACATTCAAATATCTCAAATCTACCTAATATTTAATTTGGAAAATGATCATAAACAATTGGGTTTTTATATTAACACCCCACAAAATGTTGAATGCACCCTACATTAAAATTTAATATTAAATGACTTATTTACTCCACTATGCAATGACAATTTTGACCTTATTAGGTTTTAAAAAAAAGTAAAGATTTATAAATACACCCCAAATCACTTTTAGCGTATTATTTATCTTCTCAACTATCAAACATGTTGATTAAGAAAAATTGTTTTTGACAAATGGAACATGAAATCGATGTTTCAGGAGCTTCACATGAGGTAAGACTTCATAGTTTTCATTGTTTTAGTGATTTCGATGACATCGATAATTATTTAATCTTGTGTTTGCTGCATTATTTAAACTTCTATATTCATATTCATCTTTTAGTGTTCATATGGTTAGATTCAATCCCTGAAAATTAAAAATGAGTGTTATAAGATTTGAAAAATGTGGGGTGTAAAGAAAATGTGGGGTGTATGTACAAAATATAAGATGTATATTGAGAGTGTGAGGTGTGGGGGTATTATGGGAAAGTAAGTGGGGTGTATTAAGATAAAACATTAAGTGAAAAAGCAAATGTGGGATGTATTAAGTTTGTGGGGTTTATTCAACAATATGTGAGGTGTTGTATATTACAAACTAGAGAATACAATTCTAACTACGTGGTAATTTATCAAAAAGAAAATCAATCTACGTAACAGGTAGTCTAAAAAAACATATGTTATCTAATGGTATAAAATTAAAATTTAGGAATTAATTACGTTGATTAATTTATTTGTTACTTTAGGGGTAATTTTGAGTATCAATAAGCTGATGTAGAATCCCAATCATTGAATATATTTCAATAAGTGGACTATTCCTGATAGTGGTTAACAAAATTAGATTTGAATCAAGTTTTCTCAATATTTTGCGTACCAAATTTTTTGTTCTTTCACTTGAGGATATACATGATTGCGACAAAGTGACATGATGAAAACAATTCTATTTTATTTTATTTTTGAGAAACCTCAATGGTAGTCAAACAAGTCAACATAGTTTGAAAACACAATAGCATGAACCGTCTTCAGAGGAGAATCATGTTATATTAAAGATGGAGAAGACAAGCCCATATTAGCAAAATTGTCCGTAAAAAGATTTCATTTGCGATATATGCGAAATGCATAGAAAGTTATTTTCCGAATGCGATCCAAACAAATAGAAGAGCAGAAATCAGACAATTGAAGAGCATGAATAATTCTAGAACTCTCACTTTCTAACCAAAAATAATGACAACCAAGCTGATATGCAAACTCTACACCAATAATAATTGCAGATAACTCTGCAAAAAAAAAAAAAAAAAAAAAAAAAAGTTGTGATGGCCAATCTATTGATAGAAACCTCCAAGAAAATGACCATGGCAATTCCTAAAAGCTCCTCCACAAGCAGTAGGACCGAAATTTCTTTTAGACAAACCATTTGTATTAAGCTTAACCAAAGAAAACCAATGAGGAGACCAAAAGAGACATGATGAAAACAATGATTGAGTTAAAGCCCATAACTTCTTTTGTTGCTAATATCCCTTAAGCTACCCTCCATGTAGCGTATTAAAATGAATTAAAACATCCCTTGGCTAGTATTTTAAAAGATAAATATTTTGTTACGATAAAACTCTATGAATTTTTTGTTCCATAAGTATTGTAATTATACATAAATGAGATTTCATATTCTCCCAAGAAAATCTTAATTCTTAAATCCCAAAACTTGTGATGTATATATAAAGCGGTTTACCCTACGAATGAAATCAACCAATTCAATTCAATATTTCTACCTGCTATAAGTTTATTTTAAGTTTCTTCTCGCGTCTCACAATGAATGTTCTCCAATTTTACTTAATCTCTCCTTATGGCTTCCGCTTCTTCCTCTTCCCTTTCGCCCCTAGTGTTGCCCACTTTCTCAAAATTTCTAAGACGAATTATCTTTTTTGGGAGAGCCAAATGCATCTTTTTCTTGTTGAACACAACATTCAGAATTATGTTCGTGACACCTCCGAGTCCCCCATCAAGATTATTGCAGCTTCTGACCATCAACCCGAAAAAGCTAATCATGAGTAAGCTAACTTGTTAACCTAGTTTATACATTTTTCATTTTTAGTTGAGCGATAGCATTAGCATGTTAGAATTTAATTATTAGGGGAAAGGGAGTCGGTGAAGATTAAACTCCCACTAAAATGCATAAGCCTAAATACTTTCCATCATTACGGTAAAACCTCATCTACAGATTATACATTCTGATTAGCCATTTATTCAATTCATTTTTTTAGTGCACATTTTAGTGATGACTAATTAATAATCTTCTGCCGCTACCACTACCACTAGTAGTTTTTAACTAGTTCAGTAGGAACAAATAATAATCTCAAAACGACAACGATTACGAAATACGACACACATTGGGAACGCACTAGCTCGCACTAGCATCGGTACTACTGCAGAGAGCCACTGTCTAGTTCCAACGTCCGATAACCTGCCCTGCCTATGATCCCCAATTTCACCAAACCCAAATAGGAAACCCTAAAAGTAGGAATCTTTGTCCCAAATTCCCAGCACAAATCGAGTTCTATTTCTGGGTTTTTCAGCAAATTTAGAAATTCTGGGTTTTTCAGTAAAAAAAATTTGGAAACTTAGGGTTTTTTTCATGTATTAACTTTTAGGGTTTTCGGGCAAATTTAGAAATTCTGGGTTTTTCAGCAAAAAAAATTTGGAAACTTAGGGTTTTTTTCATGTATTAACTTTTAGGGTTTTCTCCCGAAAACCCTAGCTTTTATTCAATTCCCATTAGTGCAGGCCAATCTTGAAGAAATCAAATTTAGGGCTTTTGGGAGCATTTCCTATTATTATGGTTTCAGGACCATTGGTGGGCGACGAAGCGAGCAACAAGGCCTATTCCAGAACGACCCAGAACAAGTCCAAGAATCCCAACCATGTCCTCCACCACTCATCGCCGCCGCCTCAGGACCTGACGCAACTCCGCGGCGCGCTGGCATCCAACGATTCGACGAGCCACAATGGCCTGCTACCGGGCTTTGCCGAACCGGTCGACGGTCCACGTGGGTACGCCAAGTTCGGGAACATGGTTCGGATTCGGTTGGGTTCTCAGTCCAAGGACGATAGGAGACAGATCAAGGGGAAGCTGACGGGCGAGCTCGAGCAAGTTAGGTGCTTGATGAAGAATCTTGAAGCTAAGGAGATTGAGCTTGGTGAAAGGTATGGTCAATCACTTTCGTCTAATCATGCAGTAGATAATGTTAAACCTACAATGAGAGCCAATTTGGAGGCGGGTTCTGTAGGACTCCGTGATTCTGGGAAGTATCGGGGTTTGAGTGTTTCGGTTGCGGAGAATAAGAATGGGGTTGGTCAGTTTGTGGAGAAGGAGAATGTGAAGAAGAGGCCAAAGACAAACCAACGTTCGGAGTTTCTGATTGGGAAGGAAAAGTTACCGCCTTCAGAGAGTAGCAAGAAGTTGAAACCCACTCAAGGGGGGAGAGATGGGGGTGGGGGAGAGCCCTGGTTCAGGTCAGGTAAGAACCGGAGCAAAATGTTTCAGAATTGTAGTGCTTTGCTTGAAAAGTTGATGAAGCATAAGTTTGGCTGGGTGTTTAATAAGCCTGTGGATGTGAAGATGCTTGGTCTTCATGATTACAATACGATTGTTAAGAAACCAATGGATTTGGGCACGGTGAGGACGAGGCTGAACGAGAATTGGTATAAGACGCCAGCGGAATTTGCAGAGGATGTGAGACTTACATTTAACAATGCAATGTTGTATAACCCGAAAGAGCAGGATGCTCATCTTATGGCGGACCAGTTGTTGAAGTTGTTTGAAGTGAAATGGACGGATGTAGAGGCTGAGTATAATCTCAATCTGAGAAATGAATTGGGTAATAATTCAAATTTCACAACACCTGTTTCAAGAAAAGATGAAGCTCCCGCTCCACCCCCTCCTCTGGCATCGAATATGAGGACTCTGGATAGAGCAGAATCTATTACAAAGCCTGTTGACCGCAAGTTGAAACCTGTGAGTTCTGGTCATCCAGGTAGGGTATCAGTTCCAAAGAAACCAAAAGCCAGGGACCCCGACAAAAGGGATATGAGTTATGAGGAGAAGCAGAGGCTCAGTGCAGACCTCATGACTTTGCCTTCTGAGAAACTGGATAACGTTGTGAAGATTATTAGGAAAAGGAACCCAGGGCCTTTTCAGCAAGAGGATGAGATTGAAGTGGACATTGGTAGTGTTGATCCTGAAACGCTTTGGGAACTGGATAGGTTTGTGACTAATTACAAAAAAAGTTTGAGCAAAGTTAACAGAAACGTGGAGCTTGGTTCTCAATCAATAGCAGAGCCCTGCGATACCATCCAGGAGATGGTAAGACAATAAATTTGTTCCCTACCCTGCTTCTCACTTTTAAGTTTTTCTGGCTAATACATGATTAACTTATCATCTTTGCAGACTGTAGCACCAGCCACTACAATGGCGGCAAAAGAAGCCAACGCAGGTAATAAATTTTAACTCTTAAGCATCAGTGGCACTTTGGTTAAGGTCACTCTTGAATCCTATGGCGTTCTACTTGTTTAACACTTCCTGTTTCATTTGTAGAAGTGGAAAACAACAGTAATGCATTTTCCCCAGTTCGAATAGAAGAGCAAGGTGATAATGTGAGTGGATCAAGTAGTTCTAGCAGTGAATCTGAATCCTCTTCAAGTGGTAATTATCGGTGTTTTTCCATTACTATTTATGTAACATCCTAGTTCTGTTTGATGTTGTTATGAGTTTTTTTTATTGTGTTATATTCTATGCAGATTCTGACAATGAAAGTTCCTGCGGTGTTGAATCAGATTCAAATCATTGACCTAGGACTTGAATTGATTTAGTTGAGGTAGGTGGCATTATCTTTCTCTTGGTTAACGATTTATTGTTATTTTTATTCAAAGCCAGCTTGTCGACTACTGTATTAATTTTGAATCATACATAGATAATAACAAGGCAATTGTAATATTCAATCTTTGGGGTTCCATGATTGTTTATAATCGAGTTTCTTTAATCTTGGCAACCCTAAAAAAGAAAATAGAATGGTAAACCATAATTGTTGAAATGACAATGTATTATGCCAGTTGTCATTTCAACAATTATGGTTGTTTTTATTCTCCCCGTCCAAATGGCTATTTGTCAATAAATAAATGCTGAGATATCTGTCAGAAGTGTTAGACCGTTGTATTGTTTTCCATTATAAGTTTTTCATTTTATTTGGATCATAGTAATTACCAGGAGACCAGTTTATAAAAATTTGGGGTGCCCTGACAGTAGTTTACTCTAACTTTCGGTTAGACTTAGACCTGTAGGAAACTGTTTGTTTCTTCAAATTTTACAATTCCAAATTGTTCCATAATATGTTGAATATCTTTGTTCTGTGTTTCATACCATTTCCTGTTTGAGAAAACTTTCATCACTCTAGCACCAGTGAGGCTTTCGCCTTGAATTTTTGTTTTGCAGTGGCTGTCCACTGGATTCATGAATTTTCTCCAAATACCATGAAATTTTTCGAACCGTGAATGTCTGATGGGTTTTTAAATCTTACTTGCCTTCCTTTGTAAACCATGAAAAGATATCGTGGTCATTTTTTTATTTACAATGCTTTTGCATATGGACATGCATGTGTGAATCCAGTGTTTGTGTGTGCACGTGGGTGGTGAAGTGTGTATGTGTGTGCGTGTGTGCACTGATGTGTCAAGAAAACTCTTGCTGGTTTGAGAGCAAGACTTACGAGTTGCCTCTATAATATTCATTTTAAAAGATGGCCACAACCTCTAAATGTTAGTGCATGTGCATGTACTAGGATTCTGAGTTTGTATTACATGAATCCCTCGTAAGCTTGTCTCGCACTATACGTAGATAGCTTGCGTGCTAGGTACATCTTTAAATGCATATCCAGTTGAGGTATTCGATTTTAGTGGACAGAGACGCATTTGCATTCTCCTTATCTGTTGTGTTATCAATAAATTTGGATGATGTTAAATCCCGATTCACAAGCGTACTGAGTTTGCAGCAGTTTTCTAAAACTCAGGTTAAGTGATTCTGTACATGCATGAGATATTCAGTCATTCGCTACTTACTTTGCTTCATTTATGATGAAGACGTCTCACACAAGTTTTCTCCTATTTCTTGACATCTCAGATCTTTTGAGAAGTTTTTGTTCGGCCCGGGATATAGTTGGTGTAGATCAAAGCGTCCAAAGCGGGTCATCTTAACTGCTGCTCCTGATCAGAGTTCGTCAGAGGTGTATATCAACGTAGGAAAGTTAATTAATTAGTAGTTGTCGCATATGGAAGAATATGAAAATAGTAGAACGAACTATTCTGAAGGCAGGAAAAAGTTTGTATAAAAAATATTTACAAATGCAAACTGCAAGCTACTTGCTTATCATTTCCTCTTAAAAAGTGATATGTTAGAAGTTGTTTTTATGGTTGGGCTTCCGACTTTGTCTTCCACCTCAGAACCTTCCTGCACTAGTTTTCGGCATCTTCGTGCACACCCTTCTGGTTTCTCTGGTTTTGGGGTTACTCTAGTTTTGTGTTCCCCAAGAACCAATTTTCTAGTAGCGGAGCATAGTAAAATTTTCGTCGATTTTGGGTTACAATTGTGAAAGCTTTTCGTCGATTTTGGGTTACAATTGTGAAAGCTTGTGCGCCAACGAAACTGATATGAGATTTTTTGAATGATCGAAAGCATGGAGAGATTCTAAAACTTAACATTCAACCTTGTGCGCATGGAGTTTCTCTCTTGAGATCAAAATATAGACGGGTGGTGTCACTTGTTCAATAAACGCCTGTCAGGTGTGTTGTAAAGTGGATTACTCGTTCAATAGACGCTTACCACATGGTGAATTACAAACAAGATGTCTACATTTAGGTGAAGTTGTGTTTTGTAGCTTGGAGGTCACGCCGGCCTGGATGGAATCCACATTGAAATGAGCAAATGGCGAGTCCAAGTGGGATCCTTATTCCTTAGCACACAGCTTTGTCCATTTGCACCCAAAACTGAAAACTACGAAAGCTTACCACACGATTTTTAATCCTCCAGGTTACCATGAACAATCAGTTTCGAGAACGGAGGTTATCGAGAAGAGATTCTCTCTTGCAACCAATTCATAGCCCCAGACAACACTTTGGCACGTTCAAATAGCAAACCACTCGTCCAATAGGGACTTGCAACGTGGTGATCACTGATCACAACGTGGGAATAAGAAATGTTCAAACAACATTACGATGATTCAAAGTTCAAACAACATAACCCCTCCCATAACATGTCATTGGGAATTATTTATAGAAACCTTTGTCTATTAGAGCTGCTTACTCCAATGAAAAAAGCAAAGCCGGTGCCCGTGCCGGTGCCGCTGGCAGCACTAAAAATACATCACTACTTGGATAAATGCAAAATTTGGATGGGTTACTATCGGGACGGGTAGATAACCCCCATTCCCCAACTCATTGATACTACATTACACTAACTCTGGTTGGCAAACTTGATACCCTTCTCGATGGATGATTTGAGCTCAGGGATCAAGCTTTGCAGTCCTTCCTGTTCAAAGTCCGAGAGATTACCCAACCCCAAAACTTCCTCGACTCCATTCTTTCCAAGCCTCACCTGAAAAGCAATGCAGAGGATGCTTAATTGCTTATGACAAGAAGGTAAAGAAAAAAATAGCAGCATCAACAATTTCAACCAACTAGACAAACAAGAGATGCAAGATTAGAACTGGCAAGCATATGGATGAACCATTACGGAGATATACAATGCAGCGACCAACATATGCTATATCTATTGAGTGCTACCCTCCAATAGCATGTGTTACAGTTCGAGCTTCTAACTCATGTAACATGCAAACAAGTACGCAACCGCAATGGTTGAGACACATCGAAGGCCACTATTAACTAATATATTTCAACCACCATATAGTGAAATCAGAACAGCCATCAATAGCCAAAACGGGAAGTGCACCGTCTAGCAAAAAGATACACACAAAACTGTTTCTCGGCGGTAGACACTAGGAATCACAATCAAGGCATAGACTAGTAGGCATGACCACAAACATAATCACATTGGGAGACATGTTAAGTAGCAGGCTGCAATACTCAAGCTGAATAGCACCCATCCGTATAGGCAATTACCAGTATATTAAAAAACAAAAAATAGCTTGAGGAAAAATAGAAAGTTGTGAACTAAATGTTTCCCAAAAAAAATAAAAAATTCAAAGGTGAGGATATGAATCCCTAATTTGTTGATCTCACTAACCTTAGAAGCAAAGAAAGGAAGTTCAGTGATGCTTGATTGCACAAACGAACATTCCACAACATCGGGCACTCCATTAAGTCCCTTAAGACAAGCATCAGCGAAAATAGCGCCAGCATAGCTGCAAGATAAACAGTAAGTTAGTCCAGGAAAAAACATAAATTCCTTCTTTGTTTCCTGATGAAAATAGAAAATTCAAACAAAGAAATCAATGGAGGAATAAGAAAAGGGAAACAACATTACGGAAGAAGCATGTAACACCTTGGAATAGCTATGGATCCATAATGTTTTAACACAGATAAGAGGGTATTACGAAACATTCGCCACATACATTTTTACATTTAACTTTGTACATTACATGAAATATAAATTTCAATTTGAAAACAGGCACATATAATGATGATATATAAAGTCGAAGCATCTGTGCAAACAAAGTGTGCACGCAATGGTTTTATCCTAACACTTACGCCATTGACAATGTTGCAGATCCCTTTCCAGCCTTTGCTTCCACAACTTCCGTTCCTCCATCTTGTGTTCTCTTTGTCAAAGCCTTGATAACATCATGAGGCAAATTGGCTGTCGGGGTAGCCTAGAACATTACAAGACAAAACAGTATAAAATAGCCAACTCTGAGTCAAGACCAACCAAAGCAAATACCACACAAAGAACAATACATTAATCTCATACAATCAAACCGAAGGGATTAAACAATTTGAGTGATACCTGAGAAAAAAGCGGCAGAATGGTGATGCCAGCATGGCCACCAACAACTGGTATATTAACCTCTGCAAACACAAACCCATTTTCTTTATTTGGTACTGAAGAAAACACACCTTACAAAAAAAATCAGCTACTAAAACCCCTCAAATAGTACAATATATATGCTTTAATTACATCTAGCTAAGTTGGGATTCGAGAACATCAATCTTTTGCTAAAATCCGGAACAGAAGCACAAAAATAGCAGACAAACATAGCTTAAAGGAAAGAGCTTTTAGAAGGCGGGTCAATAATGTATATACCAGCAACATTAGCATTGGCCTTTCCAGCATAGAAAGTCTTAGCCCTGACCACATCAAGAGTAGTGACACCAAACAACCTCTTCTCGTCGTACTTCCCGGCCTTCTTCAACACCTCGGCCGCAATCGGGACCGTAGAGTTGACTGGGTTGCTAATCATGTTGATCAGTGCCTGCCCAAAACAATCACCCAACAACCCAATTCGATCCAAAATTCAAGATTTGGGAAAAAAAATCACAGAAATGAAGGGCACGGAAGGGATACTCACATTGGGGCAGTACTTAGCGATGGCGGTAGTGAGACCCTTGACGATACCGGCATTAATGTTAAAGAGATCGTCTCGGGTCATCCCGGCTTTCGGGGCACACCGGCGGGGATAATTACGACGTCGGCTCCCTCCAAGGCTTGTGCAAGCTGCTCTTCGCCGGCATAACCCTTGACCTAATCATCGCAATCAATCAAATCCCCAAAATGAGTATAAAAAAAAAAGTTCAAAACTTAAGACCAAATCGGAGGCAATCCGATCGACGAAGAAAAAGCATTAGAGAGGGTTCGGAGAGTACCTCAGATCTGGTGTTGATGTGGCTGACGTCAGCGGCGACGCCGGGGGTTCCGGCGATATCGTAGAGGGAGAGGTGGGAGACGAGAGGGTTGAGCTTCATGAGGAGGGCGAGGGGCTGGCCGATGCCGCCGGCGGCGCCGAGGACGGCGACCTTCCGCTCGGGGACGGAGGCGGAGGAGTAGCTCCGGCGAGCGACTCGGTGTACGGATCTGGCGATGGAGATTGAAGGCCTCATTTTTGCTTCGGGAGTGTCGAAAGCTCGCTGCTTTGAATTGCTAACACTGATACAACAACAACAACTAATCTACAGAGTGAGAGATGCGTACTGTATATATTTATGGTTGGCTCATAAGGAAGCGTGCTATTGAATATTACTTTTTATTTAATTTTTAAGGGCTTTTTAGAAAGTAAATGCATTTTTTTCAGGCATGAAAAGCAAAAGTTTGTAGCATATTCTATTAATATTCCCTTTTTTTTTTATTTGCCTTTTGATCTGCAAAATAAAATAACATTTTTATGACAGTATTTTCATTTTTCAATTTTACTTTGGTTGGAAAATATTCAGGGAAGTGTTATTAGCACTCACAAAATTTCATTTAACACTTCTCACATGTGTATTTTTATTTCCTAATATAGAAAGTTTGGAGTATAGAATGAAATTTTTGGAGTGCTAATAACAGTTCCCAATATTCATAGCTTCACATGATCTTTTACCAATTTTAATCTTTAAATTTTGAATTTATTACATTTTTGCTTACCAACCGTAACTATATTGTACGCTTTACACTTAATCATCTGTCCAGAGCCGTTTCTGAGATTTCAGAAGCCCGGTGTGAAATTTATATAATGGACCCTCCTTAAGATAGTATTAAAAAAAGTAAAACAATGTATTGATGTAGAAAACAATCACTTAAATCAAAATAAACTTTAGCACTCGTTGATTGCAAATTTACAAATGTCATTAATTATAAGCAAGGAAGAAAATATCGGTAATATCGGAAATATCGGTAGTCCGAAAACACAGAAATATCGATGGAAATATCGGGATAATATCGATATCGATAAAAATTACATGGAAACCACGGAAATTGTAAGAAAAACTTGGAAATTTTTATTGAAACTTTGTAGGATGTTTATTTAGTCAATTATCTATTAGTTTATCACCAAAAATTGGAAAGAAATGCATTGCATGATGGATTTAACATTATCAAGTTGATTATATAGCGAGCTGACAAACATTGTGAGTGTAGAAAATATGTAGTAATTAATGAAAGTAATCTAAACACACCATAATCATTTATATATAATGAATTAGTACAATATTTTACACTTTATATTTTAGTACAATATTTGGATCATTGGATCAGAGAGCTAAAGACAGGTTTTGAATTATTTGGATCATTGGATCAGTGAGCTAGAGACAGGTTTTGAATTATTTGGATCATTGGATTCTTTTTTTCTCACACGCCACCACACCACACACGCACACAGAGACTGAGCTCAGTCTCTCGATCATTCCTTCTCTTTTCTGAGTCTTCTCCCTTCCCTTCTCCCTTCTCCAGTTCTCCCACACACACACAGAGACATCATCTCTCGATCCATCGGCGCGATCCTCCTCGTCCGCATCTCCCTCTGCTCATCCCGCGACCTCTACCTCTCCCGCGACCTCTACGTCCTGGTGTTTCGCGACCCAAAAGCTTAGGCAAACGCGTACAGAGCCTGCGAGTCCAAGATCGTCGAGCAGTGCGAGGCCGGTGCCAGGATCGCGTGAACCATTAGCGCATCGGAAAAGTGTAAGCCCCCGTGGTGGCGAGCTCTGATTGGCCAGAAAGTCACAGACTTGAATGACTTGAAACAGAGGGAACAGTGCGAGGAGAGAGAAATTGAGGGGTGTTTGACGGCGGCGAAAGAGAAGTGCGGCGGGTTCGCGAAGGAGAAGTGCTTGAAACCCTTCAGAGAAGCGAGGATTGCAGGGGTGAATGTGAAGCAGGCTGAGAGATTGGTCTGCTGGGGAACTCTGGCGGATCCAACTTCGTGGCTCAACTTGATTGGATTGGAAAAGTTGGGGGTTTTGGGTTCAGTGATGAATTATAGGGCTGGTGAATTGTTTGGTTCGGATAGTGAGTCCTGCGACCTCTACCTCTCCTCCGTCGGCGTCGCCGTCTACTCCATCGGCATCGGTGTCGGTGTCGACTTTCAAGCAATGTCGCGATAAAATCTCTAATATCGCGATATTAGCGATAATATCGATATTATCTCGATTTTTTGACGAAAACCTATTGGATGTGTGTAAATATCGGATTCCGAAAAAAACGATAATATCAGCGAAATATCGCCGATATTATTGATTTTTTATACCCTAATTATAAGTAAAAAAAGCTACAAATATAATTTTCACTAGATATTCAAAAGCAGTTCAATCTTAAACTACCAAACATGAAAAAAACAAACGTCAAAACTCTAAACAAACTTCAAAACTGTAACTTTAAAGTTCACTTGAATATATAACTTTATTATATAATAAAATTGGAAAACTATCGTTTTTTAGAGTGTTATTATATTGACAATCAGAATATCTCATTGGACTAAAAAAATTTATATTGAGTGATGCTAGGACTTTGCAGAGAGGGGAGAAGAATTTTAGGTGGTTGCCAAAGTTCCATGAAGCTGTGTGCAAACGAATAATCTCATTAACCATCACTTCATTTGAACGGTTGGTAAACGAAATTACAATCCACAAACTCAAATCACTTCATTTGAAGTATGAATTCTCACAATATGATTTCCGATACGGTCTTCGGGCAGCTGCAGTGATTCATCGGTGAACGCCTTCTTGGCACAAACAACAGGTTTAAGCCACCTTTCCGGCGTTGTTTGGTGAGATTTCTGATCACGTATACACAAACTGAACACCACTCGGTGGAATAGCGGATGACCATGTAACATTGATTGGTTTGGCAAACATCAAGCTTCAATGAAGCGAATGATCAAGTTCCGATTTGCTGTTGGAGCATTGTGTTTCCCTTATCCAGTCTAGAATGTCTGAACAATCTTCGCGTCTGATAAAATGCCTTCGTGCATAAACAAAACCATTTAGTATTTAGTTCTCTGTGTCAACAATTCACTTAACCGCAAAACTTCAGTGTTCGTAAATCATACCTATTTTTAGGTCGATAAGCCTTCAATTCGGCAACTTCTCGATGGCTTGTTAGCTCTTTCTTCATTCTCAGCGATTCAGGCACGACCAGAAGTTCACTGTTTTCATGGTATGCATCATAAATGAAGTCGAGCACCGTTTCCTGCAGGAATTATCCGTTATGCTAATAAGCACAAGGTTAAGCATCACATTTATAAAATTAAGCATTCACTAATTCATTGGGTTCGGGTAAATAAAAAGCCTTGCACAAAGCCAAATCTTTAATTGACAAATTAGGCGAAAAATAATATACGAATAAGACCCAGGAGGGCGGAAAGCTACATCTTTCTCTTTCTGACAAAGAATGAAAACAAGATTGGAAGACATACCAAGGGTTGGGAAGCATCAAGCCAGTGATAGATATGCTCGTTGCGAAACCATGTTAACTGCCGTTTTGCAAAATTTCTGCACAAGAATTTTTTAAAATTCTGTGACTGAATGTAATGTGTGAGAATCTTGTAAACTCTACAAAGCCACAAGGAGTATTAAGCTCTCAATGTAACACCAGGTATTCCACACAAACACGCACGGAAAGTTGGAAGTTCATTTTGGAAATGAATAGACCGTAAAATAATTCAATAATCATAACACAAAATTAGAATCTAATCCGAAACTTCCTACTGAGATATAAAGAAAGATCAAGCAATGAATACCAGTACTGAGGATAGTTGTGCCGGTGATTTTCCTCCTTGTATCACCTAACCTTTTATTACGCAATTCCCATTTTACCACTCCTCTCTCTGAAAGTATTTACTAACTGAAATTTAGTTTCAATATATCCCGCCAACACGATTTGTTACAATGTACACTGAAAATGTCTCTGAGTTGGAAAAGAATATTATGCAGGCAGTTATGCCTTTTGAATCTCTTTGATACATAAATTTGAAGAAAAATTGCATTACCTAGACGCTTTCTGAAATTCAGATAAAAAGTTGTAGAACTCTCTTGCAGAACTTCCTCCTTGCTGCCTACACATCAACAGATACTCCATAGCCTAAAATCAAACATTTCTTGCTGTTACAACTATCACACATAATAATAACATGACGGAAAAAAAGTGCCACGCGATTTTAATGAAACAAAATCAGACAACCATTGCTTAAATAATTAAAGAACAATTTAACAATAGCAGAATCATACTTGTCTGTAACCAATTGCTCTGGTTGCTGAATTTGAATTTGGAAGAAGGCCCGAATCAAGAAGCCAATTAGCTTCAGACAAGATACCATCGCTTCCTGCAGGAATTGTAAAAAATATTAAAAGTAAAAGAGAGAAAAAAGAAGTACTTCGTCCACATTGAAATTGTAATCCTAACTGATCAAGTTGTGCAATACAAATGAATTGCCTCATTTTGAAAACTCAAAGACGAATGATCAATTTGTACTGATGTGTTAAATATCATTTACCTGACAGCATATCTTCACATCGGTAGTCAATTGACTTATAAAGATCAACTCTCTTGCTTGAGAGGAAAAAGCAAATAAAATCATAGTCCAGTTCCTTTGATTTTACTTCCTCCACTACATCAGTAGAAGGACTAATGTCATTTGCGTCAACTACACTAGAATCACACTGTTTCCGGAAAGAATCATACGGTACTTGAAATGCAGATGGAGGTGATCCGGTAGACTGTCATTGCAGGACATGCATATGTTATATGCATATAACATCAGTAAAGTGGAGGGGCATAAGCTTCTAAATGCAAAACAACTCAGCTTAAGAGCGAATATTGAGGCAAAGATATGAACAATATATTGATGCATGTCTGTGTCAAAGGAATGCATAATATTAGAAGCAGAAAACAAAAACCAACCTTAATAATCTCAAGGCTGCGTCTTAAGCGATACCAGTCATTGGCAGCCAAAAGTTGAGCCTTTGGGTCACCTGCTTTGACCACTAACTCCACAGCTGCATCCCAGTCATTATTTTTCTGTAGGACCTCTAACTCGGAATACACTTCTGATGCAATCTCTAAAGAGGCTTTGGGAACATCTGGTTTTCCGTATACGAGCCTTAAATGTACAGCAAAAAACTAATGCTATCAGTACAACCACAAAGAAGAGAGAAAAATAATTAAGCTTATTACACTTAATTACAGAGATTTTGTTTTTCTTATTCGGCTTCAAGCAACCAATTTAAATGTTGCCAACATCATCAATCAACATGCAGATGCCATTGCAAAATATATTAGTTCACAACGCAGGCCAGTTATGTTAATGTGTACTCGACATTCTAACTTTAAACATGCCAAAAACTTCCTAACATTAAAATGATAAGAAAAATAAAGATAAAAAGGGAAAACACGAACACGCACACGCGCGCGCACACACACACACACAGCGAAAACACGCACGCACGCACACGCGCGCGCACACACACACGTGTGTGTGTGTGTATATATATATACAGATGCACATATTTACGCAAGAAAATGCTGGCACATACCATCGCAAGTACAATCCAGTACCACCAGTAACTATGGGAACCCTGCCATTATCAAGAATACTTCTTGTAGCCTGCCTGGCATCCTCAAAAAACCGTCCAACAGAATAGTCTGAAGAATAAAACACGTATTGAATTGGCAGAACAGAAATACCCAAAGTTCCAAACCTAGCAAGAGAAAACTCGACATCATCCAAGCATCCCACAGGACCCAAATTTTCATTATAGCTTCCAAATACTAGATCAAAAAAACATAATGTATGCTATGATACAGTTCTATCTGCCCTATAGCCTACAGCCTCCAAAATTAGTAGGCAACACACCTTCAGATGGGTGCAATATATCAACAAGATGATGCGGCACCTCCTGCATCAAATGAAAGAAAACACACAAAGTTAATGTGATCAAATGAATCCACCAAATAAACCAAATTTGTTGGTCAAGTTGGAGTTACTAATAACAGACCAGTTGCGAATAGAAAACAAAGGGAGATGTTGTCCAATCAATCATTCACAGTAAATTTGATATCAAGTTAAATTTACATTCTTAGTAATTAAGTTGTTATACTAGTTCTTTTTTTCTTTCTTTCTGTTATATTTTGGATTAGAAAGGAACTCGCTGTTCTAGCGAACTACTTCGTTTTGCTAGCATGAAAAAAATTCATAAGGACCGAAGGGTTTCTATATATCTATGAAATTCTTCATTAAAGATCAGATAAGTAAATCTATAATACAATTCCTGAAATGCTGAGAAAGAGATAATATATACTGTGGACATTATGCGATTTCTTGGAAATGATGGTATGGATTTCTATGGTTTGAAAGGATCAAATTCAAATCAGATATACGGAATCCACAACTATCATATTACGAATAATAAAACGTAAAATATCAGCACGAAATAGCACCACAGTTACAAATATTAGAAAGTTAAGTAGGACATAACCTAATTTATTTTTCTTATTACACTAAACCATTAGCAATATAGTGCATCTGAAACCAAGATACTCCAGAATTCAAGATTTTCATAAATTCAATTTCAAAAGCGGAATCATGCCTGCACTAAATGTACAAGTTTCTCAATCAGGCAAGCACCTGTCTATCACTTAGTGAAGGCTTGGCAGATCCAATATCAAGACCTCGATATACCTGCAGCACAAAAGTTATAACAAACAAAATCACTTTCAGCAATATAGCACTAGCTGCACTACCTGTTAACTGTTATAATCATCAACATAAGTCGATTCAATCGAGGCAATGTTACACAGAAAGAAGATTCGATATTTTGAGTTATCTCCCATTTCAATGCTTATTGTTACTTTAATCCATATTTTTATATAGATGTATATTTTGTTAGGATGTGTAGTGTTGTTTCGGTTCCTTAACTTTCGTTCTGTTCTTTTCCTGCATTTTCTCATCAACCAAACAAAATGGTTTATCACTAAATACCCAATAACCTAAATTACTTGCAAGTTAGTATCTTTAGAAAACCCAATTAACCACTTTGCTGCTTAGTTCGAAAGAAGCTACATTTTCCCATTTTCTTCCCCCTTTTCCCAGCATCCAAACAGAGAACACCAAAAACCAACAACTGGGTATTGAATTTTTGCTCAAACCTGGACGGAGTCGGCGCTGATAATCTCGCCATTGAGCCGCTTAGCGAGCTCCAGAGCGAGGCGAGTCTTCCCGGAACCGGTGGGCCCAGATACCACTATTACCTTCTCCTTCTCTTTATTCTTGGTGGCCGAAACAGAGCAGGCGGTGGTCAGACGCCGGCGGCGGAGAGTGAAAGTCAGCAACCCAGCCGTCCGGAGAACGTGCTTCTTCGACGAGGACGGGAGGCGCGGGCAAAATGTACGGACGCAACTGCTACTGATTATCATTTTTTGGGTTAGGAAGGAAGAGACAGGATTGGATTGGGATTGGATTGGGATTGGATTATTTTTGTGTCTGGCCGTTTGGGTTTAGAGAGGGTTTTGGGTCTCGAGCTCTAAGCTTTGCTTGTGAACACAACTGGGGATGGATAAAGTGAGGGTGTTGGGATTTATTGGACATTTCCAGTGTTTTTTTGTTTATTTTATTTATTTATTTTTAATATCAAAGTTAAACTTGTTCATAAGTATGAGATTTTTTTTTTTTATTACAGGTGATATTTTACACTGATCTATAATGAAAAAGAGAAAGTGAATTCGGAACACCAAGGAGGAAGAGGTTGAAGAGGAAAGTCATATCATCAGGGCAAATCCATCACTTGTAAGTACGAGATTTGTATTTACGTGTAAAGAGTTATGTTTCCATATTGACAAATTATATTTTGAAATTAAAATGGGCTTAAACGTCTCTATTTAAAGTAGTGACGGAGTCAAATTTTCATGTGGGGAGGGGGTGAAATACTTAAAATTTGATCCTACCAACTGGTGGTTGCATGTAGGCCTGACATTTTGGACCCAACCCGTTAAACCGACCCGACCCAACCCGTTAATATTTGTATTTGGGTGGATGCTTAACGGGTCGGGTCGCTAACGGGTGAACCCGTTAACAACCCGTTAAATAACGGGTCACTTTGGGTCAACCCGTTAGACCCGTTAGGACCCGTTAACACCCGTTAGCACCCGTTAGTTGAGGATATTTTAGTAATTTTAGTAAAGTCTTAATAACAAAAAATAAACTTTATGCAAAAAAAAATAAATAATAATTGTTAACGGGTGTTAACGGGTGAAACGGGTGACCCGTTAGCTTAACGGGTTGGATTCGGGTCACCCGTTAACTTAACGGGTCGGGTTCAACCCGACCCAAACCCAATAAACCCGACCCGTTTACAGGTCTAGTTGCATCATGAAAATTTGATCCTACCAACTTGCATGTTGTTACCTGACCTAAAAGACTTGAAGCTCAAGGTACCATTTTCAAATACTTCACCAGCAAAATGCCTTTTAACAATCAAACACTTCCCACGCCCACCATATCTTCATCTCCTTCCCCAAATGACAAGGCAGCAGCCCTCCCTCGAGCGGGCAATCCAGTCCCTCTTCCCGGTTGCATTGGCCTCGCTAGGAACTGCACTGCTAGTCCTCGACACGTTGAAGAGCAATGGCAGCTTTGTCTTTCAGATGTATGGTAGGCCAAGAGGCCAAAAATCGAGACCGGCAGTTGTTGTCTCACCGGACGATCGGATTGACGAGAGCTGCAATGAGTTTGAAGGGAAGTGGGTGTGGGATAATTTGTCACATCCTCACTACACAGAAGAGAGCTGCCCCTACTTGGTAAAGCAAGCTACTTGCCAGAGGAAAGGGAGGCCGGATTCTTACTATAAGAATTGGAGGTGGCAACCAAATGACTACAACCTCCCAAGGTAAAAGCTCTATAATTTGCATGCATGTGCATTCTAAGTTTTTAGCCTACGTCGTACAATCCAGACCACCACATTGTTATCTGGTGTAACTAATTCATACATGTTGTTACAGGTACATCTATTTATTAATGTTATAGCCATATAAGTGAATTAGTAATATCACGTGACAGTATGACGGTCACACTAAATAAGTGTGTTAAGGCATTTCATGTCTTTTTATTTTCTTAGTGAGTGGTTTTGGCTTTGAAAATTCAGGTTTGATGCGTTGAAGCTAATGCAGATTTTGAGGGGCGAAAGGCTGATGTTTGTTGGAGCTCTGTACAAAGAATGCAGTTTGAATCCCTCCAAAGAATCCCTCCCAGAAAGATCTTCAAAGTAGAGGGACCCGTACTCGCGCCCAGAGTTCGACTTTCCCCTTATCCTTTTCAGGTCTTGCAACTTCTCATCGAATTAGTTCTCCCACCACTGGGCTCCGTTACCGTGGAGTCTATTTCGGACCGTGCAACGAAACATACTGCGCTGAAACGTCTGGTGAAGCTCGACTCCATAGCTAACCATGGCAAGCACTGGGAAGGAGTAGATATTTTGGTGTTTGAGAGCTATGTATGGTTGATATGCATAGCCCTACAATCAATGCTACGTGAGTGACATAAATCTGTAGGGCACCCCTATGTTATAAACCTCTTTGTTCTTTCGATTTTACCCCATGTTTCTCTATCTGTAAACGTTACCACACGAGCCCTTATGTTTTGTTTGTATGAGCCAGATATGGATCTCCATATGTACAAGAATATAATGTCACTACAGCATACAAACTGGCCTTACAAACTTGGGCAGAATGGTTAGAAAAACACAGTATGAACCCTGAAAGGCAAAAGGTCGTCTTCATGAGTTTGTCTCCAACACACTAATGGCAAGGGTTTTACACTTCCCACTCGAACATTTTTGAAAGCTTAAAAGGAAGGAAAATTACAAATCATTTTTTTTCCTTGTTATACAAGCGGTATACAAGCGGTATTGGAGGAGAGAGTCAAACACAGGATCCGAGTGTAGGGGTGGACCCACAAACCCCCTTGCTACATATTATAACACGTGTACCATATAGAGTTCACAATTCAGAGTTTTATCCGTAATGGTTTATGGGGAACGCCGGTGAAAAGCTCTTGGCAAAGGAACAAAAATCGGATCCTAAAAATTTGCCAATTGCATTCACTGGTGCCTACCTGGGGTTCCTGATACATGGAATGAAATTTTGTATGCACATCTGTTGAAGAGCCATCAAAATCTTCTGTAACACGAAATTAACAATCGAGGCTTCGATAAAATGTATGAAAGGTACACTCTTAGGTTAATATTGAGGATTAGTAGTGCAGCATTTTGCAAGGAAGGAAAAGATGTGACACCTGCTATTTGTATTTAACTCTTCTGTTGATCTTCTTCAACCAACAAACTACAAACGACATGAATTTGGTGACGGTAGACACAATATTTATAATCCGTTTGTTCATCCTCTTCAACCAGCCAAAAACCGGTGAAGATAATATCCAGAAACAATACTGACCAGCTAGAACTCAATACCGTGATGCTTAACTAGTTTATTTTATGTAGGGGAATCATCCTCAATTATATATATTCAGTTTGGTATGCAACGTTCCACCATATTTAACTGCAAAGGCAAGCAGCCCTTTGACCGATCCAATTATTTACAGGGAGGAGTTGGTTTACTTACAGGAGCTCCCATTCAAAATCACAGGCATCATCAATTTCCGACTTTTTCATGTTCGAGAGTGCTCCTTGGCTACGGCTGGAATCTATATCACTGTCTCCGAACCAAATTGCTAGCTGTTCGTACTCCTTTGCCAACCTCTTGTTTGATGTAAAAGCATCCTGGATTCTTTTCTGTATTTAAGAAAGAAAAAAGAAACCTGATCAGTTAGGTTCGTGTTGCTAATCGGGCACCTAATGTTCTAACAGAGTTTCATATTTTCAAGAAACATTTCGGGTTCTTTTCTTTAAATAATTCTTTTGGGGGATAAGTCATTGATTCTCAAGAAATGGGTGACTGCAATCTAAATCCGTGTTAAAAGTTCACTGTAAAGATGCCTTTTAAATATGAGAACGAATGGAGAATTATATTAAGTATGTTAAACGCCAGTCTGAAATGATGGATGAAGTCTTCTTTATCTTCTAATTCAATTCAACAGAAATTTTGGAAAACCGTATAACATTTATTCAGAAAATTGAGGCGATTTGGAATAATCTTCAGCTTTTACATTTGTTACTTAAACTTAACATTACAAAAACAGAAATGGAGGATTGGAGTAAAGGAACGTACCTTGTATGATCTTAGTTTTCTTGCTCGGCTAGAGACAGCATGCAGGACGCTATCGTCTACGATGACACAGCTCTCCTCCAGCTTTACCTTATCGTGGAAATCGACACTCCTCTCCTCCAGCATTACCTTATCATGCAAATCAATGGTTTCCATAGGAGAGTGAGAAGAATCACTACTTGATTCATCTGAACATCCTGTGAAACAATTTACAACATTAGAGAAAAGGTGACATCATAAACACATCATAAAAGCATCCAATCTAGATCAGTTAAAAAGCTATAGATAGCGTTAAGGCTCCGCATGATTGCAACATCAATCGTAAGTCACAACACCATTGCTTTTACTACGAACAAAACTTCATATGAATGTATGTCAGCATTCTCACTTCTGATATCTTCAGGAAGGCAATACACTATGAGCCTAGGAGTTTTAAACGTGAACAACAGGAAAGAAAATAAAAAGAAGTATCAAATGCACATTCTACGACATACCAATATCTAAGGACAACCTAAAAGCACCAAACTGCACAGGGTCGCAGATTTGAACTTGCTGCTTTGTAGATGGTACTGTCAGAGGCTTGATCTCTGCCGTTCTGGAAGTGCCTTCTGCTGTAATACAGAAGTTAAACAATACTGGTTTTATTAAAGAAAGCAATAGTACATCTATAGCAAGCCAACCAAAAATACTAACCTACTGATTCGGGTGATATGACACTGCTGAAAGAAGAAAGTCCCATACCGAGCTCCTTATTCTCACCGGACACGATTAGAGGTGAAGCAGATGATGGGAGCCCATTAGAATCATTAGATACAAACCCAGCCACCTCAACAGCTTCCAGGGATGAGTTTTCAGGTGAATACCCAGCGAGCCAAAGTGATTCCTTTGCATTGGAGCTGCTGAAGGATGCAAGTTGCATATTCTCTATAGCGTTCTCCCCAGATACAACTGAAGAGGCAACTTCAGAAGTAGTACTTGAAGCACCAGATACATACTCAGTTTCATCTGAAGACTTATCACAAACAGTCGACTTTTGCTTGGACTCAAACTCCAATCCATATGCGGGGGTTGCAGGTGCAACCTCAGGCAAATCAGCACATCTATTTTCATGATTGCTATGAGAAAATACCCCGTGTGGGGACGATGTAGAGTGTTCTGCCACAAAAGGAGAAGTTAACTCCTCTAATATAGGTGCAGACACTTTTACGGCAGTTTCTTCATTGTTTGCAGCTGAGTCTTCATTGGTAAAAATGTCATCAATCTCTGGAACCGACAAGGCAGACTCCACTACCTCAAGAGTATTCCTGGAAGCAGGAGAACTAAGTTGACCTGCAAGGTTAT